CGTGGGGAAATCCGCTCGAGGACCATCTTCGGACGACGGCGCTCTGCACGCGGTGTTTAACAGGAGGGAGATGGTGGGCTGGGCTCTGGTTCCGGAGTGGATCTGGCGAGATCATCCTCGGGAGTTACGATGAGGGGCGATCCGTTTCTCGCCAGAATCCACTCCACAAACGTGGGGAAATCGAGGACCATCTTCGGATGACGGCGCTCTGCACGCGGTGTTTAAACTGGCGTCGTAGAATGCACAGAGCGCGTCGTCCGGGTAGCTGCTGCTGCTTGCTAGCAGCTGGAACAATCTCGTATGGTCCTCGAGCGATCTCTCCCCCTGCTCCAGCAGGAGAAGGAGAAATTCCAGGCGAAGGAGGGCATCCATGAGGGAAACTCAATGGAAAAAAAACACTGAGAAAAACAAGAAAACAAACGGAGGGGAAAACACGGAGGTAACTGTTTTTGGTCGGTTCTTCTGTCACAATCTGTGATGGCGAGGAACGATGGAGAAGAGGAATAAATGAAACAGTCTTTAATCCAAGAAACACAGGGTACATCCAACACTGGGAACGGCAGGAAACACATGAACATAACAAGCAGAACCGACCGAGACAGACTGCACAGACTAGGACTTAAATACAGGGGATGATTGGGGAAAGACAGGTGCATGGGATGACTAATCAATCTAATTAACAAAATGAGGACAGGAACATGACCAAATAAGGGAACAGAAACAGGGGCAAAACATGACACAAGACAGTCCATGATCCTGACAAGTATAGTATAGTATAGTATATACTATATATATTATGTTTATAATATATGTATATAATTTGAGAAGTATTCTATGTTTGAGTTCAAACCGAGATCTTTGACATCTGATTACAGCAATCTGTGCGCAATTGTTGAGATCTTCTATGAAATGCAAGAGGAGACGCATGTTTAAGAGATTACCTGCACCTTCTGAGAAACAGGAGACTGTCGGTCCGTGTGAAAACACAATGATTTTTGATTTCTCTTTCAGATGGCCAATGACAGCACAGAGACCAGTGAAGCAGGTGAGGAGGAAGAGGAGCAAGAGGGAGACAATGACAAGAAAGAGCGAATGCCCTACATTCAGTGAAGCCAGACTCAACCAGAGACAATCACGAACCTGAGCTGAGCTCCGTGTCATGTGTGTGTGACGTGTTCGGTCTGTTGTTTGTCTGTATCTTTGCCAGTTTTGGTCAATGCAGTCAAAAATACCCCAAAACACTAAGTGTGTTGTTAAATGTTTGACTGAATTGCCATTCTTAGTGAAGTGTTGAATTGTTACAGTGTTTTAGACCAAAACGTTATTGTAGGGTTGACTTTTCGTGGAAGCTTTTTGCAGTATATATATATATCAGAAGCTTTTTTAAAGGTGATATAAAAAAGTTTGTGTATGTGTTTTTTGTTGATTATCAAATTTGATATATCATAGCTCATATAGTATGATATAGGAGAATATGGAGCTTACACTTGAGGAAGAAAAACACTTAAATTTTATTCAGAGGTCCAAACTGAGATAACAATTTGGTGCAATTGCTGATATTTTTATGGTCAAAAAGTAAAATGAAATTCTGATGATTCAATGAGATCTTTAGAACAGTATAACAGACTACTTACATGAAATGCATATGACTATGAGTTGTCACTCTATGTCTCCCAATAATTTGTGTTTGGAAGATGATTAAATTCTGGATTTTATGATCAAAGCTGTAGTTGCTATTGTGGAGGCAAAACATATAATGAACTACAATGATGACTGAATAATATATTAACAGTAGGCTTTATAGGGTTAATTTGCAGAGTCAAGTCAACTATAAGTAAACCACTCATAGGTTGATTGATTTTTCTGACGAGTGTAACACTGCGTCTCTGTGAAGCCTTCAAAACATTGCTTGTTTGAGCATCTCAACAAACACTATTGACTCAACCAGTCTATCAAGCTATCTGAGCAATGGCAGATGGGGAATATTCAAAAAACATGTCTGAAAACAATCATTATTTTTGCAGGTGCAAGTGGCTCAGAAATAACACATTTCATTTTTAATGGACATGAAATGTTGTAAGATACAAAGTACAATCTTGGCATATGAAGCAATAAAACATGGCACTATTACAGCAATGCCAAATGGCTCTCTTATTAAAAAGGTCCATCCAGAATTATGATGGCTGATTCATTCATCTGGCAATAATGTGTTCTTAAACCTTAATTTTACATTGTCTATGCTCTGTGGTTTCCCTTCTAATTGAATATTCCTAATGGACAAGAAAGCTAAGGGAATTGAAGTAATTAAAGTTGCAGGCAATATCTTTTATGTGAATTATGTGATTAACCTCAATTTGCTGTTAGCCACCTAGAATGGGACACCTTGTGTGTCTAGTGACTGCTTTTAAATGAGGGTCAGAAGGTCACAAATCAACCTTTTGGATATTTCCAACACAGGGGGAATGACATCTTACTACTTTTTTTTCTCTTTCTCTAAAATCTATGACTATTGCATGATGCAATAGTTACCAAAAAATGAAAGTTCTGTCATCATTGGTCATCACCATTTAATAAAGAATGCAAATGGGTAAATAATGTGTTATATTTTGTTTATCAAACAATCTATTATAGCTTCAGAAGAACTGAAATATAGTGCATGTGGCAAATTAAACTGTGAAAAATAACTGCACTTGATTGTATTGAATATGCACTTGTTGTGTACGTAAAATCTAAAATATATATACTTTTAAAATACTGTACTTGCAGATATAACATTGATGAAATATAAGGTCACTTATGTGTACTTAAAGAGTGTACAATGTTTCCTAACACTTAAGTATCAAATTAATGTCTAATTTGTAATAATGTCACATTAAATTTACTTTAAATTAGTTTGAATTTATTGTTTTAATATTCTTTTGTCATGTTTAAAGAAGTAATTATTTTGATGTGTTGACTAGTATACTAAAATACATGAATAAAATGTGAATAATATTGAGTATAATTTTAAACCTGCTCTAGCCCTAGGACTATTCTTGTGTTTTGCCCACCATATACCTGTTTGCCCTCATCTGACCCATGCCTGTTTCATGACCACGTCTCTGTCTTCGTTTCAATAAAGCTTGCATATGGATCCGCACGTCTCACGTCTCGTCAGCCCCGTAACAGTAGTGTTATTCGATATTACATTTAAAGTTAATATATTTTAAATGTATTAAATTGTAACTTCATCATAACAAATGTGTAATTACAAATGTATTTAAATACCTGACATACATGAGTTTCAATAGAAATTACATTAGAATATTTCAGTTTACCATAAATGTTTGTCAGTACATTCAGCAGTATACTCAAACCATATTTCAAAGACAGTAGCAGTGATTATGAAACTACAAATAAAGATGTACTTGCGTACTACTTAAATGGGTCAAAAAAGCACTCTAAATTTAAACTAATTGAATTTAATATAAATTTTAACTAAAATAAATTATTTCATTGTAAACAACAGGCAGTTAAGTGTCTGAAAACATTACATTTAGTTTGCACTTAAGTATATTCCTTTAATGTATATCACTTCTCTCATAAGTCTTCTTTTTAAAAGTATGCTAAAATGTACTTCTTTTTCACAAGGGAAGGTCTTTTATAGTACTTTTTGGTAACACCTTATTTTAAGGACCAATTCTCACTAATAACTAGTTGTATATTAGCATGCATATTAATAGCATATTGGCTGTTTATTCGTAGTTATAAAGCACATATTATGCCTTATTCTGCACAACCATATTCTAGTCTTTTAAAGGGTTAGTTCACCCAAAAATGAAAATTAGGCTGCGTTTTACTCACCCCAGAGGCATCCTAGGTGTATATGAATTTCTTCTTTCAGACGAATCCAGTCGGAGTTATATTAAAAATTGTCTTTGATCTTTCAAGCTGTTTAATGCCACTCAGCGGGTGTTGCATTGCTTCAGTTCAAAATAGCTTAGATAAAACTCGCCCATCCATAAAAAAAAGTGTCTCACACGGCTCCGGGGGGTGAACAAAGGCCTTCTGTAGCGAATTGATGCGTTTTTGTAAGAAAAATATCCATATTCACAACGTAATAATCACTTGAATCTAGCTTGCGCTCACACTGTTGTAAACAGAAGCAGTTCCGGGCGGATGACGTATGAGGTCGGCGTTGCGCATGCACCGCTCAGAAGTGACGGCCGCGGAAACACAGCAGAGAGATCAAAACAAAACAACGGTCAAGAATTAGAAGTACAAAACGAGGATTTGTAAAGAAGAATGTCAGAGGACTTTGATATAAGCCAAGAGGAAACTGGTTTTCCTTTGCTAAAGTAAGGAAACTTTGCTTCCTTTGCTCCTGTTAACGAACATTGGTTTTCACAAGACTCACCAGTGCATGCGCAACGCTGACCTCATACGTCATCCGCCCAGAACTGCTTCCGTGTACAACTGTTGGCGCAAGCTACATTAAAGTGATTATTACGTTTTGAATATGGATATTTTTCTTACAAAAACGCATCGATTCGCCACAGAAGGCCTTTTTCACCCTCCCGGAGCCGTGTGAGACACTTTTTTTTATGGATGGGCGCTTTTTATTTAACTTCTTTTGGACTGAAGCAATGCAACACCCGTGCCATGAAACAGTTTGAAAGATCAAAAACAATTTTTAATATAACTCCGACTGGATTTGTCTGAAAGAAGAAAGTCATATACACCTAGGATGCCTCGGGGGTGAGTAAAACGCAGTCTAATTTCCATTTTTGGGTGAACTAACCCTTTAATCCACCCCATACCTAAACTTAACAACTACCTTACTAACTATTAATAAGCAGCAAATTAGGAGTTTATTAAGGGAAAAATCTTAGTTAATAGTGAATATGTGGTCTCTATTCTAAAGTGTTGCTACCTACTTCTTCAAAATTGTGGTCCACGGAAGACAGAAATTCATACTGATTTTTCATTTTGTGTGCATTTTTTCCCCATCTTTGAAATGTTTAATTAATTTCAGTATTATGTAAATGCTCTTCCATCTGTTTGTACCAACCATACAGAATGTACGTTCCCATGGGCTTGAGCAAAGTTAGGCCTTTTCCTGTGTTCTCCCCACACAAACAGTCCAGTACAATATCTACTCCATCTGGAGATATCCTGCATAAGAAAAGAGACATCATTAACCATATTGCTGCTCTAAGCACTGGCAAGCTGCTTAAATGGGGGCCTCTGAAAATGTTGAATATTAATAATACCCTAATATTGTTCAGTGTCTCTGATAAGCAATGAGAGGTATGTCTTTATAAACATGGGCTCTTATGCGTTCCTGTCTTCATGGTTCTTGGACCGTTAGGAGGTCTTGTGATGCCCGGGGTCCTGCCTATTGTGGAAGCGAGACCAACTTGAGTGCAATTTAATTTTGCTTTGCCCCTGATCCTGACTGGAATGTGGAACCACAGAGATGAAAAGAGTGCTAATCTCCTCTCTCATACTCAATTTACGTGAATTAGTTTGAACATAAACATGCACCAAGATCAAATCACTTCAATAAAACATACTTTGTTAAAATAACACAAAAATACCAAATACTACCATAGTTTTCTAAATATAAACCAAGGTAGTAATATATTGTTTACAAATGAAATCCACCATAGGCATTGTTAGACAAAAGCACCTAAATATTAAAAATGTTAATAATAATATTAAAACATTTCTTCAAATTTGTTGCGGCTTGCTCTGAATGTGTCCGTTTCTGCACATTTTCTGGCTTTGTTCGACCAAAAACATGCACCAAGCTCAAATCACTTCAATAAAACATATATTTTGTTAAAATAAAACTAACACAAAGCATCAAGTACTACCATTCAAGACTTCAACCCAACTATGCTGTGTATTTTAGAATTACCATGGTCTTGCCATAATAACTTTTTTGTAAGGGAAACCAATAAAAATAGAGAAAACATGCTTTAGAGATCCACCATAGGAAACGTTAGACAACAGTCCATAAATCTACAAAAAAGTGTTTCCTCAAATTTGTTGCAGTTGGCTCAGTTGCTGCACATTTTCTGGCTTAGTCTGAACATAACCATGCATTAAATCACTTCAGTAAAAATACATATTTTGTTAGAATAACAAAAAAAAGTACCAAGTGCTATCATTCTAGACATAAACCAAGAAAATTTTGTTGTTTTGTATTTTAGAATTACCATGATGTTTTTACCATTACTGCACCATGGTCTTGCTACAGTACTTTTTTTTAAATAAAAGTAACCAATACAAAATGAACAAAAGATGCATTACAAATGAGATCCACCATAGGAACTTTTAGACACCCGCCCTTAAATCTTCTACAAAATAAAGTTCACTCAAATTTGTTGTGGCTGGCTCTGAATGAGTCAGTTGCTGCACATTTTCTGGCTTTGTGTGGTTGATCAGAAGGACGTACAGGTGCCCCTCCCCATACTACAACACACTACCTACCCATCTGCTGGGTGTTGCCATGGGGACAGGAGCCACGCAGGTCTAGAGGACCTACTGGTGACGTCTGCCTTCTCAGATTGCACTATCCTCCCAGTATGACTCATTTTTTATATTCTCATCATCTAACCAATTCTGTTTCTCTACGCTCGTTTACCTTTACGTAACGGCAACAGCATTTGTGCTTACTTCTTAACTTCTGGAACGCAGTCGATGTTTCTGTCAAACAGATGAGTGACTGAATGCTGTATGGCTTCGTGTTTGAAGGGTGAGGCAGTCCCAAACACAGTGACGTTCGGGACAGTGGAACAAAGTTGAGCGACTGCTTGACCCTAATACGGAAAAAGAGGAGAAAATCTAGTTTTTGTCACAGTTTTGAATTAATTTTGATCATATTCCAACATAAGCCAAATAGCAAAGCTGTTTTGATTTTCACTTGTTAAACTTGGAAAGCTGAATATCATTACTGGATCAGTACGATGATGTTTTGTGTCCAAATTCCCATTTTTCTATAAGCTAAAATAAGCATAACTTTAATATCTGCAACTTCAAAGTTTCTTTACTAACCCTTTCCCTCAAAGCAACAGACTTACCACCGCACCTCCTGCTGAGTGAACTAATACAGACATCCCCTCCCGGAGATTGGCCACTTCAAACAGCATCATGTAGGCAGCCACAAAGTTCATAGAGAAGGCAGCCGCCTCTGGGAATGTCATGTCGTCTGGGATCTTATACACAAAATCCAACGGTGTGCACACCACCTCTGCCCAAGCATTGTAGTTCACAAAAGCCATCACTCTGTCACCTATCTGAAAGGAGGCGAAACATGCCCTTAAAGGAATAGTTCCTCCAAAATGAAAATTAGCTGAAAATGTACTCACCCTCAGGCTATACAAGATGTAGATGAGTTTATTTTTCAACAGATTTGAAGAAATTTAGCATTACATCACTTGCTCACCAATGGATCCTCTGCAGTGAATGGGTGCCGTCAGAATGAGAGTCCAAACAGCTGATAAAAACATCACAAGTAATCCACACGACTCCAGCCCATCAATTATCATCTTGTGAAATGAAAAGCTGTGTGTTTGTAACAAACAAATCCATCATTAAAACTTTTTTTTTTATCTCCAAACCATTGCTTCCAGCTAAAATACAAATCCTCTATCCATTATATGCTTTCTCCAATGAAAAGGTTGTCTCATCTGATGAGTCAGGATAGAAATATGCACAGATCAAGCACCATTTATAAGCAGAAATAGTTCATAATCATTTTAAACAAATATGTTGGTGGATTTTGATGTGGGAGGACAACAGGGGATGGACTTTTTCACTGGAGGAAGCGTTATTATGGATTATGGCTTCAATCATTTTGGCCAGAAGCACTGGTTTATAGTTAAAACTCTGGATTTGTTTCTAACCAACACAGAGCTTTCTGCTTCACAAGATGTTAATTGATGGACTGTAGTGGTGTGAATACTTGTAGATTTTTATGATGTTTTTATCAGCTGTTTGGACTCTCATTCTGACGGCACCCATTCACTGCAATAAATCTACTGGTGAGCAAGTGGCCCAAATCTGTTCCAGTGAAGAAACTCATCAAAATCTTAGATGGCCTGAGGGTGTGTAAATCTTCAGCAAACTTTCATTTATGGGTGAACTATTCCTTCAAACTCTATTACTATTATCAATAATTTTAGACACCAGGACACCAGACATAAAACCAGGTGTGACGAGAGGGGCGGGGCCGAGAGCTGTGGGAACGGAGCGCTGAGCAGAAACACCTGCGCCACTCACCGGTCTCGAGTCCCACGGAGGAGCTCCGGAAGGATAAAAGGAGGAGTGACGACAGTGTTGGACGAGAGAGGACCAGGCCTGGACTTTATTTTGTGTTTTGTGTGCGGCAGTCGTCCGCGAGGGGCTGCCGCTTTACTTTCATTTTGTGTTTGTTTATTTTATTAAAGTTTTGTTCAAATGTTCACCGGTTCCCGCCTCCTTCTTCCCCTGACTAAGAACTGTGTTACATTATTGGTGTCGAAACCTGGGAGGAAGGAGGGACACACTGCCAGAGATCCCTCGCCACTGTGGTGAATCCGCGGTGCCATCGAGCATGGTGGAGCAGTCTGCCGCCATGGACGCTCGAGGCGGTGGGATGGAGTGAGTTGCCGGGGGGGCGGACGAACTCGCTGCTGGCCACCTGGGCTGTGGAGGGATGGCTACCATCCGTGAGGGAGCGGAGGAGTCGCCGCAGTTTGCCTGAGGCCGGAGCCTGCTGCCATCCGCCATGATGGGGAGGAGCAGGGAACGGGGGAATCCTGCCGGCTGCCCGAACCCGGAGGAGCCGTCGCCGTCCACTGGGCGGCGGAGGAGTGTGGAGCCGTCTACCGAGGGCTGTCCAGTGCCGCCGCCAGGCATCGCGGAAGAGTTTACCCAGCTGGTAGAGGGCCGAGCGGCAGTGTGTCTGGGAACCGGAACGATATATATATTTTTTTTCTTTTTCCTCTCTCCCCTCTCTCATCTCGGTCTCTCCTCATCCTTCTGTCTCCTTTTCTCTCACCTCGTCTGTCTGTCCTTACCCCCAGGTACGCCGCGGCCGCTGTGATCGGCTCCCCCGGAGGGGGGAGGGGGGAGTAGAGCGCAGTCTCGTGAGTACCCCCCGGCCTGCGAGGGGCGATGGGGGTATGTGACGAGAGGGGCAGGGCAGAGAGCAGTGGGAACGGAGCGAGACCGGTGGAGGAAATGCTAATGCTCGCACACGAGTCCCACGGAGGAGCTCCGGAAGGATAAAAGGAGGACGACAGTGTTGGACGAGAGAGTACCAGGCCTGGATTTTATTTTGTGTTTTGTGTGCGGCAGTCGTCCGCAAGGGGCTGTTTGTTTATTTTATTAAAGTTTTGTTCAAATGTTCGCCGGTTCCCACCTCCTTTTTTCCCCTGACTAAGAACCGTGTTACACCAGGACCTTTTTTTTTTTTTCAATTCAAACACTGAACATTTTTATGAAAGGTTAGAAAAGTGCTAAACACAATATATTCCTGAATGAGTACACAACCAACATATCAGCATTTAAAACATTCCTGCACATACCTCAAAGCCTTTGGTGTTTTCTCCAACACTCTCTACAATCCCAGAACACTCAAATCCAGGCACAAGAGGCGTTTTTGGAGGATTGTCAATATTCCCTTGACGCACCATTAAATCCAGAAAGTTCAGTCCACTGTGAAATTAAATGCTGATGTCAAGATAATGTGATAATTCATTCTAGTTCATTTTAATCAGTGTAATAACAAAGTATTCTGAACTCCTAAATTTATCAGGTTCAACAACAATTTCTATACATTTTATATTTTACAGTTCCACGATATTAAGTTTAAATGTCCAAAGAGCAGTCAAGCACAGCAAGTATCAAATAGATGAGGATCTGCTCGGAATGTATTTCTACATGTGACACAAAACTGTTAATGTTTTGTTCATATAATTTAATAACCCATAATACACATTAAAACGTGTAACCTTGTACAGCATATGGTTTGAAATCCCTGCAGTGTATGCTGATCTCCGCAGAAGAACTTTTATTTTTACTTACATCAGCATCGAACCTCCAAAACCACCAACATTCATATCATGAAATATTTAAATCCTAAATAGCATGACTAATATGGCTAATAGATGAAGGCAACATGTTGCTGCTGCTGCTGGCGCTCGTGCGAACTCTCAGATGTGCCACATCAGTTATTACGCATGTTGAAAAAAAAAGACTATTCAAGCTGAGATATTTACCATGTTTTCACGCGAATTTTGACTTCTCCTTCTTGAGGGTCTGGCATTGGTTTCTTGGTAACTTTGAGTTTGTTTAGACCACCAAAGCCCGTGAGCAGCACAGCCCGCATTTCTTTTGAATCTACAACCGCAGAAACGGGATTGTCCGGCTCCTTCTGTTCTATCATTTGCTCGGTCTCTTCAGCAATCTCAGTCCCTTCCTTTACCATGTTTGAAGGTGATGTGAACAGCCTAACGGTCTGCCGAAGCCCTCCCGGAGACTGCGGTCTGCTCCTGCCGCAACATCCACTAGTTATGTTCGAATCCTGAACGAATCGTTCATTGGAACCGATTCGCACATATGTAAATCACTGGACTGTTAAGGAGATTACTGGACAATGTATGAGACTTTTTCGAAAGTAAAGCGCTAAACAGTTTAAGTAAATATTTTGCCCCTCCAAAAACAAAAACAAACACTTTTAAGTGGCTCAAGTGAATCGATAGATCAGTTATTGAAACGGCCGGTTCACTGAAACTAAAGATACTGTGTGTGTATACATTTAATCCGCAAGTACAATAATAAACAGGAATATTTAACTCAATATTTACGTCGATACTAAGAACTACGTCGAAATATGGACTTCTCCCATGTCGATGTAAAGATTTTGAACCACTGAAACGAACTGTTCGAACGAACCGATTCGCTAAAATGAATCTAATTGAATGCTTCACATTGGAAAGCAGAATATTATGTCACATACGGTACCCAAATAAGCTACAGTACCGTAAAACTAGTAATAGCCCACAAAAATAAATAAATTAAATAAATAAATACTTGATAAGGAGGATTCAGAAAATAGTTCTCTATATAATGAGACCACTGTACCTGTAATTAAATTGGCTAAACAAATCAAAATACCAAAAATGAAATGCTGTTTTTGTTACAAACCACAAAAATGACATCTAGTGGTGAAAATGGTCCATGCAAGCATCTAAGAAATTACATAAGAAACAAACAAAACAAAAACATTTAAATAATAATTATTGGTTTGCTTGTCCTAGAATACAATCAGTCTTCTCCCACACAAGGGGAAAGGATGTGATATAATTTAATGGATCAACAGCAGAACAGAAATAAATCAGATAACTGACAAAGCCACTTCAAGTGTAATTGTACACAAACAATGGGATCAATAAACTACTGAACGATGACTGAAGATTCAAACCATCCACATGCCTTGCACTCTCATTTACATTTTTCTTTCACACGCTCATTTACAGCAAAAACAACATGACAGTCTTTTATTTTGTGCGTATTACAGCATTTGTGAACCATATCTAACCGTACATCTTTTATTCATAACATCTGTAAAGTATGCATCTGCCACTGTTATAATCCACTTTAAAGAGAGAGACAGACTGAGAGGTGGAGGTGTGTGATTGTGATATAATATCGTAGTGAGACGGCAGAATGACATGATGTGAGAATGACGCGGAGCAGTTCCTATTTTCTAGGAACATCAGTGAAAATGCGTAGACCGTGCATGGCTTTAATCTCATCTTTAAGAGCCTGTTGAACAACAAACCATAGATTATGATTTACACTGAATACTATTTTAATATTATAACTATACAGTAATGAATTAGTCAGACAGACAAATGATAAGATGAGACCAGTGGCCTGTTACACAAAGCTGGTTGAACAAACACAGAGTAGGTTTAGAGTTGACAAAATTCAAACAAATCCAGGTTAGATCTGGTTCAGTGGGTTCTCACAGAGTTTATGCAATTCACTTCTCAGTTGAACGTTAAGAGCTTGTTATGGTAAATGTCCAAGAAAAAACACTGTTGCTGCCATGAACGTTTGCAAAGGCTGTTTTGTCTCTAAAATTCTTTCACTGTGAAGTGCTTTAATTTTTAGCAAGAGATACAGGGGGAGTAGCTTTATTGTATCAGATGTCACTTTGCTCATAGCTGATTGGTCCAATTTTGGTTTGCGATCTTCCCCAGAATTAAACCTATATTTCTGGATAGGATAGTCATGTTGTGCAAGTTACCTCAGTGATGAACCCAGCTAAAAACTAATATGTCTTTAAGAGCCTTAAAAAACAAACTTTGCTCAAACTAATCTCAAACTTACCTGGGTAGCCCCTTTTACCGGCTTTGTGTAAAAGGCCACACAGTACTGCACATATTAAAGGTCCCATATTGTACAGATTTCTGGAGTTTTATTTGAGGTTTTGATGTCCTTAAGAATATATATTTGCGGTATAAGTACCAAAAACCATCTCAGTATATTTTTACAGCTCCTCTCTCAGGAGCTCTGCTGAGAACTGTCGATTTTGGTCTGTCTGATTAATATTCAGACCAAAAAATCAGACAAATAAGTCTATTATTAATGCATCCTGTTTGGATAGCTGGGATGAAAAGGAAAGGAAAGAGGAGAGGAAACTGCTGCTTCTCAAATACTTTGTCCCGGGCCGTATGTTGCTTTGGCTTTTTTTTTTATTTGAACTCTTTTCATTGATGGTGGGGGAGAAAAAGGGAACTACAAGGCCATATTTTGGCACACTCATGTAATAAAACCTGTATGACTTTCTTTCTTCTGCAGATCACAAAAGATCACCAACAACAACATTGGACCCCACTGACTTTCATTGTATGGACAACTCTTTTGTGTTCTGCAGAATCATGTCATGGACTCTCCCTTTAACTTGATTTTTACTGAACAGTTGTATAAAAAACACTCACAGTCATGCTTCAATAATAAGGCTTGCTCGAGTGATATTAAATCAATGGATTTTCAGTCATTATTATGCATACAGCTTTCAGGACGAGCATTAATTGAGAAATTGCATTTAAAGTCTGTACTTTGAAAAACAACTTCACACCACATGACCATTTATGTAAAACTATTATAGAACTAATAGAACTGTTTATTGCACCTAATTATGTCCGATTTGACTTTTACCTGATTGACTAACTGGTGCTGCTGTACTGTTCTCTTTCCTCTAAATTCATCGGACTCGATGTGTATTTCGTACATTGCACCACAGCCTCCTGAAATGAACCCAAAGACATTACAGCAAACATACATGCATTTCCTGACTGACTATTCAGATCTGAAGCTTCATTCGAAGTCAGGACTGACCTGATGACCTTGAGCGATGAAGCTTGAGGAAACTTCACCTTCAATCAGTCAGACTGGACGAAGACCACGCGATTAGATGTCTACACAACACTTGAGGCTAAAGACACGGAGAGACACGAATGTAACGATATTTTTTTACAATATGACATTATGCCCGCCTGGTATTTGATAAGGTGACAGTGCAACTTTATTATGGAACACGTTAAATACGTGTCGTTTACGCGTGAAAAATCAGCGTGTTAAATACGTGTATTCAACGTGTTAAATATGTGTTGTTTACGCACTGGTGCTGCTGTACTGTTCTCTTTCCTCTAAATTCATCGGACTCGATGTGTATTTCGTACATTGCACCACAGCCTCCTGAAATGAACCCAAAGACATTACAGCAAACATACATGCATTTCCTGACTGACTATTCAGATCTGAAGCTTCATTCGAAGTCAGGACTGACCTGATGACCTTGAGCGATGAAGCTTGAGGAAACTTCACCTTCAATCAGTCAGACTGGACGAAGACCACGCGATTAGATGTCTACACAACACTTGAGGCTAAAGACACGGAGAGACACGAATGTAACGATATTTTTTTACAATATGACATTATGCCCGCCTGGTATTTGATAAGGTGACAGTGCAACTTTATTATGGAACACGTTAAATACGTGTCGTTTACGCGTGAAAAATCAGCGCGTTAAATACGTGTATTCAACGTGTTAAATATGTGTTGTTTACGCGTGAAATACATGTGTTTAACGCGTTAAAATTCACGTGTTTTGGCCCTTTTGGCCTTCCATACATTATGCCCGCCTGGTATTTGACAAGGTGACAGTGCAACTTTATTATGGAAGGCCAAAAGGGCCAAAAACACGTCAATTTTAACTGTCAACAACGCGTTAAACATGTGCATTTCACACGTGAAAAATCAGCACGTTAAAAACGTGTATTCAACGTGTTAAATACGTGTTGTTTACGTGTGAAATACACGTGTTTAACGCGTTAAAATTCACGTGTTTTGGCCCTTTTGGCCTTCCATACATTATGCCCGCCTGGTATTTGACAAGGTGACAGTGCAACTTTATTATGGAAGGCCAAAAACACGTCAATTTTAACGCGTCAACAACGCGTTAAACACGTGCATTTTTCACGCGTGAAAAATCAGCGCGTTAAAAACGTGTATTCAACGTGTTAAATACGTGTTGTTTACGCGTGAAATACACGTGTTTAACGCGTTAAAATTCACGTGTTTTTGACCTTCCATACTTTATGCTGCGCGTGGGTCACAAACGAGTGTCACATTAACGCATGCAATATGTCATTTTGAGCAAACGCAAGCAAAAAACAAAAAATGTCTTTAAAATAAAGAAAGACAAGATTTAAAGATTTACCTTGCATCTGATGCTTCTGAGCACAGACATTTTGGCGTCGAGGCAGTTCGTCAGTTCATCAAAGTATAATAAAAGTATTAAGCTGAAAATAGACTTGACAAAGTCATGTCCTGTTCAATTCTAGCGCTTGTCTCATGAATAAGTCGTCACCACCTTCAGGAACACGTTCATGGCGCCCCCTGCTGATCAAACTAGTGAAATGACTGGTGGAGGTTTTGAATCGTCCTATTGATTCGAATCTATTCACACTGGCTCATTCAGATTTCATAGCACATTTCCTATTTCAGTGGTGAAAATGTAATTTGAAATCTCATTTGTTATCATCTATGAAATAAAGAATAGGCCAGAAACTGGCTGGTTCACATTCTACAAAACATTTTCTTATATGTTCAACAGAGAAGAAACTCATGCAGCTTTGGAACAATTTGAGGGTGAGTAAATGATGACAGAATTTTCTTGGAAATCTCACTTATCATCTAAGAATTAAGTAATGGGGGGGTAGTACATTTTTGTATGTTTTGTTTTTAGTTTATTTTTGTTGCGGGTCATATACTATTATTAGAATGAATTATGATGTTTATGGGTCATTCCATAAATAATAAGAAAACATATCAAAACCATATTTTATGACAAATTTTTTAAACGAATCACAAAATTAAAACAGGAATTTCATGTGAGGGCATGATTTATTTTTTCTTTTCCAGATTTCACAACAGATTCAAGTCTGTACACCGGTGTTGTTTCATAGTCAGTGTTGGGGAAAGTTACTTTTAAAAGTAATGCATTACAATATTGCATTATTCCATAAAAAAAGTAACTAATTACGTTACATTTTATGGAAAGTAATGCATTACGTTACTTTTGCGTTCCTTTTTAAATCTGGACAGGGCTTGCTTGTTTGTTTTTAAAATAAAAGTTATATTTTTGGCAAATATAAAAGCCTTTTCCACACCAAAAGGGAAATGAATAAGCCTCAGGCTGAAGGGAAAGTAGATTTACGGCCGTACTGTAGAATGCAGAAGAAGAAATTTCAACACACTTCAGCAATAAAAAAAATACACACAAATGTTCGTCTAGAGTAATTTTTGCTTATTAGTACGGTTGAACTGGATCATCGAAGGTCAGAAGCAAAGACATTGGTTAATAGAATGGGATTAAATACATAAAGGATATTTGTGTTGTTTAACATTTAATTATTGCAGGTTTGCATCATATTCTGAGTTGCATTATTTTTTTCATTTTGAGGAATACTGAATCTGGATTTCTTTTTTTTGTGAGATGAATTAATGCATAATCATATTTATTTTAGAACTACAGTAACATCTGATTTCTCTCAACATGGGGACAGGAGAGCGGTCAGTCAATAAATTTGAAAAAAAAAGTACTTATTTGAAAACGTAACTCAGATATTCTCTTGTAAATTAAAAAGTAATGCGTTCCTTTACTAGTTACTTGAAAAAAGTAATGATTACGTAACTCGCGTTACTTGTAATGTGTTACCCCCAACACTGGTTATAGTTATTATAAAATGTGGAAAATAGTAATAATAAGTAGGTGCATTCAAACTTCTTTAATAAAATAAACCTGGGCCTTCTCGTCTATAATTACTTTGCGTGTGTGGTGATATTTCTAGCTCAATAACAGATGACTTGAAGCCAACAATAAAGCACAGTTGCACTGTACTAAAAGGGTGTAGCCTTCTTGTATTTTTTTAACATACAGTATTTTGAATGCACTTCAGCACAGTTCAAACACTGCCTATAACCATAATGACAGAAATAACTTCACTTTATGATTTCTGTATGCAAAAGCAAAAAAAGACAGAACAACAGTTCTCATTTCTGTTTGATATTACAATAAATGACCTTTCAAACTTTATACATGCATGCATTTTTTCCAAACAAGAAATACACCAACAACTTCCAAACACCACTGTATACAGTCAATCACAAAATGTGACTTCAATGTTTTTGACAACTTTGTAACCAGATTATCAAAATACCAACATTTACAGGAGATTCTCTATCTCTGTCATTATGCCTGTATAGCTGGCATACATCAAAGATTTAACTACTGCCTGGTATGAAGTAGCCATGCATGTCCATGTGGAAATCTACATCTATACATGCCCGGGCAACCTCTTTGAAAGACTTGCCATCAAGCACCAGTAGAAAGCCACCCTGCACAGGTTTGGCGTTTATGATACATGTCAGGACTACACCTAAAAATTAAGAAAAGAGACAGCAAACAGCTTAGTGTTAAGATAAATTAAAAATCACTTAAAATGAAAAGCTATTTAATTTAAATTGACATTCCCCCCCCCCCCCCCGAGACTGTAATCCAGTTGAATGTGATTATGTCAGAAGCACAAACCTTACACAAATTACTATTATGAAGACAGTAACTAACCATCATCTTCATCAACTGCATCTGGCCTGGGAATGAAAACAGGCTCCGAGGCAAAACAGTCTCCTCCAGTCCACTCAATCTTCTGCTTTGTCTCCACATCAAACTTTACAATCTGCAAAAAAAAAAAAAAAAAACGTAAGTGCTCAATACTGATTGCAAAATGTTCCTGCAGCTCAACTGGTAGAATATGCCACCAGCCTTGCCACGGACATGGGTTTGATTTTTATGGAATACATTTACTGACAAAATGTTTACTTTGGAATTTTGCAAGGTTCATAAATGGACTGTTAAAATGAAAATGGTCGATACCTTTGTGGCCACTGGGGATATATCCACACAACACATGTACGAATATCTGTACTTCTTTCCATTGAAATTGTAATTAATTCTTGGAAGTTCCACACCTACATGAAATACATCGGTTTAGAGGTTAAAAGAGCCTAAGAATTAAAATAATAATAAAAAAAGTGACTCACCAGCCACTTTTAGCTACACCCGTTAACACGTATCTAATAAGCCAATCACATGGCAGCCAGTCAATACATTTAGGTACTGTATGTAGACATAGTCAAGGAGATCTACTTAAGTTCAAACTGAGCATCTAAATGGTGAAGAAAGGTGATTTAAGTGACTTTCAACATGGCATGGTTGTTAGTGCCAGACATGCTGGTCTGAGTACTTCAGAAACTGCTGATCTACTGGGATTTTCATGCACAACCATCTCTTTACAGAGAGTGGTCTGAAAATATCCAGCGAGCGGCAGTTCTGTTGGCGAAAATGCCTTGTTGATGCCAGAGGTCAGAGGAGAACGGCCAGACTAGCATGAGCTGATAGAAAGGCAACAGTAACTCAAACAACCACATCTCTGAACACACAACATGTCGAACCTTGAAGCAGATGAGCAATAGCAGCAGAAGACCACACCTGGTGCCACTCCTGTCAGATAAGAACAGGAAACTAAAGCTACAATTTGCACGGGCTCACCAAAATTGGACAATAGAAGATTTGGAAAAAGGTTGCCTGGTCTGATGAGTGCAGTAAACGGTAAAACTATTTGCATTACAAACTAGTGTGTTTATGATACAATGAAAAAATGTGATAAATATCAGACTGTTTTTGTAGGGATAAAATAACCGGAAGTGAATGAAACCGGAGGCCTCACACATTCAAGATACAAATGGACACACTTGCTCTTACGTTAAAAATACACAACACACATACAGAGTGGACTTAAGTGCCCCAGTGTCATTAGCTTACCATCACAGAGAACCTCGCCCTGACACAGAACCTTCCCCTCTTTCTCCTTCACAGCACTTGCTGTCGTGTATTTAAGTTTGACCAGATCTTCACCTGTCTCACCCTGGGTAAGAAAAGAAAAAGGATCTACTTTATTTTTGACTATAGACAGTAAACTGATTTAGTTTTCCATTGATGGAAATACCAGTTTTTGCAGAGCAGCTAAATGTTCAAGTTTTTAAAACAAACCAAACCAGAATGTTTCACAAATATGAATGCAGCACTCCCTTGCAAACACTGTGAACAACATAACATACCATGTCGCTCAGGGGCAACACAAATCTTTTGCATTTTGGCTTGCAGTACACTGTATCTGCTCCCATCTGCTCCTTCAGCTTGTCCAGGTAAAACATTTCATACAAGCTGTTGTCATCATAGCAGATCCCATCAAAAACAACATGGCCATCATCTTCAAAGGCATTGACTTGATGGTAGACAGCCATCGCACCAGTGTAGAATTTGATCCCAACTTCCTTCTTTGTCTTTCGGTCAATAAGGTGAATCAGGGTCTGATGAACATAAGTGATGAAAGAAGAGTTTAAATATGCAAAGTAAACCGTAACATTGTCCAGCTGACAGACACGCGTCTAGACTACACTCAAAGATCTGAAAAGAGTTCATTCTTACACTGTCTTCAGGGTGGAATTTCATGCAGCTGGCCCAGCTGACTCCCCTCAGATAGGCTGTGGCCATTTTGAGGACATCCAGCTTTAAGGGCTGCTCGATAAAGACAAAGTAGTTGTCAGTCATGCCAAAGCTGTGGTAATAACTGGGCGTGAGGAGGGAACGGCAGGGCACAGTGCACACGACCTCAGCGCTTTTCAAAGGTGGAGACCCGTCTGACCCACCTGATTAAACAAAACAATTGTTGAGGGTTAGTAGTTAATGTCATGTAATTAATGATGGGAGAAACTGAGCTTTTCTAAACTTCTTGCAAGTGATTGCAAGAACGGGTTGAAATTAAAAATCCATCTTGATGGGTTTATTACAAACACGCAGCTGTTCGCTTTACAAAACATTCACTGATGGACTGGAATCGTGTCGATTACTTGTGGGTTTTTGTTTTTATCAGTTGTATGAACTCTCATTCTGACGGCACCCATTCCCTGCAGACCAATTGCAAAGGTTTTCTTGATTTGAAAGTGTAATTTATTAAATATAACCGACAAATCATCAAATACCATTAAATATGAAGCGTTTATATAATGTGTTATTTTATTAATTTGTAGGGCTCGTTTGTGTGTTTTATTGAAGGCTTGGTAATCAGACCATTAAGAGAAATTAACTACTACAATCTTTTTTTAAACATACAAATGTGGAATGAAAGAAAGGTCTGCATTATCTAAGATCATTTAAAAATCATATAGATACTGTACATACTGTACACGGAGATGAACCCTAGTGGTGAACCACAGAAATTGACATTTATGACTAAATCAATCCTTGTTTACTGAAATCATGCGACTTTGGCTTTTGTGACTTTTGACTGGAGTTAGATACGAGTTCTGAACCACTGGCTTGAAAAAAAAAAAAATAAAATAAAAAGAGATTCTCAAAGGATTCAAAAGCACCCATCTACATGTAATCAAAGACTTTAGATATACCAAGACACTCAGATTACTATCAATGGGAGGAAGTGCAAAGCACAATATGGCAAAAAGAATGCAATCTAAATAAAAGAACCAATCGCCAGTTGGTAAAGTTATTGCGTCCCTGCAAATATGGCTGCAAAGTTAACTTTCCTTTGAAGGGTCTTTGATGTAATGCATAAAAGTGATGCATGTTATTTAGTGGCCACCAGTGGCTATAAACAGGATTGCAAAAATAATTTTTAATTGCAAGTTTTCTCTGCAAAACTCAACAGTACAGTGTATTGTGGGTGGCTGCCAGAGCATTACTATGCGTACATAAAAGCCTGAATGACAATAAAGTAAATACCTTTTTTTATTGTGAAACTGTGCAAAAGTGCCATTCCATCAAACCAATGGTTGTATCTCGTCTCTCCCAAAGAGAAGAGGCCAGGTCCATTGCGTATAAGCGTGCCCTGCAGCCATTCAGGAATCAAGCCTGCAGAGATAAAACACATTTAAACTATTTTAAGTGGAGCATTTGGGTATAATTGACTGCTTATGTCCACTTCTCTGTCCAAAGTCCAAACCATCTTCTATTAAGCTCACAGAACTCTTCACAAAGACAACAAATGGATAAAGATCTCCTCCACAAGCACTTAACCAGAACCATAAATAAAGACACTTAGAGATATATATATATATATATACACACACAATCCTTTTTTTTTTGTATTTACACTTCGGCTCAAGATGTACACTATTCTGGTTTGTTTTAATTCTGTATCATGATGAAACTAATATTGCCAGCCTCTTTATGATAAATTCATTGTATTTTTCCTATTTTAAGTGACCATGACTAAAAGCCTCTACTAACTGAATAAATGCAAGTGAAAAGTACAGGGTTCGTACAGAATTTTAAACATGAAATTCAAGCACTTTCAAGCAGTGACAGCTGGAGCTTTTCAAGGGGAGCCGCTTATAATAAAGTAATATCTCTAATAATAATAATTATTATTATTATTATTGGTCACATGTTACTGCCTATTCAGAAACTTATTCTATAGTAGACCATAGCAAATATAAATTGTATTTTCCCATTTGTTCCAGTGATAGAGTATGGCACTCAGAAGAAAAAAAATTGCCAAATTTATTCACTCCCTCAGCAGCTCTATTTGAAAACACATCACAGCTATATTCACTAGCTTCTTGTGGGTTTTATTCATTTGGAGGAATACTGAATCTATTTTTGTGTGAAACCAATTGTTGCAGAAAGAAGTTTTTGTCTGGTGTCTATATTTAATCAGCATAACACACTTCTAATATGAGTGTAATTCAAACTCTTAGGCTTCACATTGTATATAAAACATAAAAACAGTGATCTAGTTGGTAAAATTAATTTAATTAAAAAAAAAAGTAATTTAATAAAATTAATGCAATGTATTGCATAAAATATGATTTAGAAAACTGCATCTGGATCTGTTGTGGTAACTTTTGTTTACTTGTTAGTTGTCTGACATCAAGGCTGGACAGAGGTGGGTATGAATATGAACTTATCGTGAATGTCCTAATGTTTGTAACATCACTGTGCTGCCTCCCAGGAGAAATACAATAAAACACGGTGCAGTCCAAATGTGTTTCATGTTGCGCGAACAAACACATTAATTAGTAACGTTACTTGGTATGTCAGCAAACAAACGGCAGTGATTCACTACAGGCGCGTAATGACAACACATTTTCTCCTCTTACCTTTTAGGTCAGCTTTAATGGGCTCCGGATGTTCGTCCTTGTTTTTACTATAGTCGTACTGCATCGTTCCAAAGCGTTGTCGAAAGTTTCTCCAAAGAAGTTCTGAGAAGTGACAGACAGTCAGCGTTCGAACACGAACTGTCTATAAAGCTTGAGGACGGTAAAGACTCCGCCTCTCATTACAGGACTCGGGAGCCTCATGTTTACAGCCTTTAACTTCTCTTATTCTTATAATCTCCTCATTACTGCTGTGGGCTCATGAATGTTCTTAAAATGTAAACAGGTGCAAATTATATTAGAGAGATTACAGATAAGCAGGTCAATCTAGTTGTCGTCTTCATTTAAAGGGGTCATATGATGTGATTTGGATGTTCGTCCTTGTTTTTACTATAGTCGTACTGCATCGTTCCAAAGCGTTGTCGAAAGTTTCTCCAAAGAAGTTCTGAGAAGTGACAGACAGTCAGCGTTCGAACACGAACTGTCTATAAAGCTTGAGGACGGTAAAGACTCCGCCTCTCATTACAGGACTCGGGAGACTCATGTTTACAGCCTTTAACTTCTCTTATTCTTATAATCTCCTCATTACTGCTGTGGGCTCATGAATGTTCTTAAAATGTAAACAGGTGCAAATTATATTAGAGAGATTACAGATAAGCAGGTCAATCTAGTTGTCGTCTTCCTTTAAACAGCATAAACACATTTCATTAAACCAAATACACAAAATAATGTTCTTTTTAGCAGCATCATATGACCCCTTTAACTGTACCATTAGCATAAAAGGTGATCTGAGATAAATATAAAAAAAGAAAGGTCAGTCAGGTGTTTTACTTTTGTAGTTGTTTTTGCACATGGTGTTGTGCTGTGGGGCCTGGTTTATTTTAGATAAATGCCATGAAGACAAATAATTCAGTCACATGTTTGCCATGTTGAGATCACATGACTAAATTTACTCTACTGACTCAGTAACCGTATAGTCAACATTTTTGCTGCTTAAAAAAATAATGACGCTGAATAACACATTTCTGCAGTTATATTGGAAACTAAAAACATAAACTTGTAATTAAAGTTAATCCATGCCAATACTTTAGATGTCGATCTATATCCAAATGACTGCTAGCCTATAACTGCCGGCACAACATATGTTCAAATTAATTTAATCCTAATGAATGCTATATATTTTCTATATTCAGCAAACAGTAAATTTCTGTATTGTAGTATTCTTTATGATTAAATATTTGAAGAATTTGGCCTATATACACTTCTGGCAATGAATACCACTCCATTGTGAGCAAATGGAGATCCACCCAAATTTGAGGGGATTATGCATTTAACACAGTTAGTGTTTAACATGCTGAGAACATGATTCTAGCATACTCACCCTGTGTCAGCCACTAAAAAGAGTTCTAGGTTCCAAAAAAAAAAAAAAACCGGAACTGAACTGATATGGCCAGTAATTAGTCATAAATGATATATTGTTATAGCATGACCAAAACAAATCCTAATTTCCACAGTTTCCCATTTATTTCTTTAGAGAAAACATAGAGAAATATCCAATAGATTTTTATTTTTTATGTTTGTTTGCTTGTTTATTTAGAGCAGTATCAAAGAGCAGTATTTAGTGAGAGGCAGATTTATTTTAGTGTCATTGAGATACTATTATAGCTTTTATTAATATTTATAATTAGTTTTTATTTATTATTTATTTTAATTTTATATTTGTAATTTTCATTTTACTGTTAGCTAAAGTTTTAAGAATTATGTTTTTAAATATGTCTATATAGTTTTTATTTTATATTTAGTTTGTTTTGTTTGAGTTATTTTAGTACATCAAGTTAAACTAAAGTGCTATTTGGCTATATCTTTAACACCAAACGCATCTGCAGACTGTTGATTTTCTTCTTGACTCCTTTAACTCCAAAATTGTATGAATTTCCCAGTGAAATGTTAAACCCCATCCTGAATTAAGCCCCTCCTGAAAAAGAGCCATACTGAGCAACTATAGACCATTACCAAATCTTCCTTCTATAGGCAAGATCACTAAAAAGGTCGTTTTCAATCAGTTGAAGAACTTCTTAAACTCAAATGGATACCAGGACAATTGTCAGTCTGATTTTCGGCCACATCAGAGCACAGAGACAGCGCTCATAAAGATAATAAATGATATTCGCTTAAATATTGATTCTGGCAAAATATCGGTGCTGGTATGTGACGAGCAGTCTCGTGAGTACCCCCCGGCCTGCGAGGGGCGATGGGGGTATGTGACGAGAGGGGCGGGGCAGAGAGCAGTGGGAACGGAGCGAGGCCGGTGGAGTAAATGCTCATGCGCGACACCTGCGCCACTCACCGGTCTCGAGTCCCACGGAGGAGCTCCAGAAGGATAAAAGGAGGAGTGATGACAGTGTTGGACGAGAGGCCTGGATTTTATTTTGTGTTTTGGTTCTGTTTGTGCACGACAGTCGTCCGCGAGGGGCTGTCGCGCTGTTTTGTGTTTATTTTATTATTAAAGTTTTGTTTAAATGTTCGCCGGTTCCCGCCTCCTTCTTCCCGTAACTACGAACTTTGTTACATTGGTGCCGAAACCCAGCAGGAAGGAGGGACACGCTGCCAGAGATCCCTCGCCGCTGTGGTGAGTCCGAGGTGCCATCGAGTATGGCGGAGCAGTCTGCCGCCATGGAGGCTTGAGGCGGTGGGCTGGAGTGAGTTGCCGGGGGGAGCGGACGAACTCGATGCCGGGGGGAGCGGAACGGTTCCCAGACACACTGCCGCTCAGCCCTTCACCAGCTGGGTAAACTCCTCCGCGATGCCAGGCGGCGGCACTGGCTCTTTTTCAGGAGGGGCTTAATTCAGGAGGGGCTTAATTCAGGATGGGGTTTAACATTTCACTGGGAAATTCATACAATTTTGGAGTTAAAGGAGTCAAGAAGAAAATCAACAGTCTGCAGATGCGTTTGGTGTTAAAGATATAGCCAAATAGCACTTTAGTTTAACTTGATGTACTAAAATAACTCAAACAAAACAAACAAAATATAAAATAAAAACTATATAGACATATTTAAAAACATAATTCTTAAAACTTTAGCTAACAGTAAAATGAAAATTACAAATATAAAATGGAGTGAGTTGCCGGGGGGAGCGGACGAACTCGATGCCGGCCACCTGGGCTGCCGTCCGTGAGGGAGCGGAGGAGTCGCCGTTCGCCTGAGGCCGGAGCCTGCTGCCATCCGCCATGATGGGGAGGAGCAGGGAACGGGGGACTCCTGCCGGCTGCCCAAACCCGGAGGAGCCGTCCACCGGGCGTCAGAGGAGTGTCGAGCCGTCCACCGAGGGCTGTCCAGTGCCGCCGCCTGGCATCGCGGAGGAGTTTACCCAGCTGGTGAAGGGCTGAGCGGCAGTGTGTCTGGGAACCGGAACAAGAATAATTTTTTTCCTCTCGCCCCTCTCTCGTCTCTGTCTCTCCTCATCCTTCCGTCTCCTTTTCTCTCACCTCGTCTGTCTGTCCTTACCCCCAGGTACGCCGCGGCCGCTGTGATCGGCTCCCCCAGAGGGGGGAGGGGGGGAGTAGGAAGCAGTCTCGTGAGTTCCCTCCGGCCTGCGAGGGGCGATGGGGGTATGTGACGAGAGGGGCGGGG